TAGTAAGATGGAATTGTATGTGCGTTGCACTTCAAGTGTGTTCTTGTGATTTGAATTATCTGTGCATGTTCTCCATCTGTATTTGTACCTGATTTTTATACCTGACTTGCATAAAAACTGTACATGTATGTAATATATTTTTCTGTCAAATTAGAGTAAATACTTGGTATACCTATATCACAAAAAGAAAGTGGAAACTATTTAATATGATTTTGAATATTATATGTGAGTACATTTCCAAGAATTGAAATGTTAGTGGTTATGTGCACATTTCTGTAACATATTGCAAGTACCAACCACTCTGGGAAAACTACTGCCATTTCATTTTCAGATTATATAGTTTTTAACTTGCTAATTGATGACTGGTTCAATTTTTATTATTATTTCAATGTAATATGTGTCAGTCTTGAAACACTTAGCAAAGTTTGAGGGCACTCATGTTCCATAGGTAACAATTAGTGAATCATTAACTACATTCACTATATGAATATTGCTTTTAAAATATTTTATCTCTGTTATTCATAATATTTATGAAGAGTTTCATCTACTTATTGTGACGTAACAGACTGTGTTGTTACATTGGTGTATGATCGTTATTGAATCATCTTTAAACACAGTATTTCACAGTGCACAAATTGGAATGAAACTTTTCAGTTTTCAGAGGTATGAAATTTTACTTTCTCAAGCAGGTGTTGTATCTCTTTACTGGATTAAAGTAACAAATTCAGTATTATATACCTTTAAGTTTAAACACTGGTTGAATTTTACACTAGACAGACATTTTTTTCATTTATTAAGCATAAACATGAAATTTATTATTTATTTTTAATTTAACTGTAAAATTCCACCTCCATCCCTTTATATTTTAATTTCATTTGGTAGTTTCTTTACTTACTCATCATTTGTTTAATTCAACTAAGAGTATTTATTAAAGAGTTCTGAAAATCATATCTGTAGATAAAACAGTTTCATAACAGAATAAATTATTAGAAAATAGTGATGTTTAATTTTTTCTGAAGATTTTGGAAGGAAAGTAAGATAAAAAAACAAACAAAAAAAAACAGAATTTATAACAAGAAGTTTAAATCAGCTGTCATTTATATAAAAAAGCTTTAGCATCCAGAATAATATCATTTTGTATAGTCATTAGGCTTGGTGTACACTATAATATTTATAATTTGTACATTGTGTTATCTTAGCAGGATTTTTTTCAGCCAGTAAATATTTTCACAAATGCAAGAAAGAACAAATAATCATCCTTTAATCCTGTGAATGATACTTTAACATATATACAGTATAGTTAACTAAATAAAGATTTTGGTTAATTTCAACAATCACATATTTTAGCTTTAATAATAGTTGAAGAAATTTCAAAATCATACTGAATATTAGTCGTGGTTACTAATTTTTGTTGAATACAGGCTGTGCTTTTTATAGGGACAGTGTGGTATATCCCAGAACCATCTTCTGTCTGTTTCCATAGCACCAGTTATGCATTATCGTTGCCCAAGTAATTGTGAAGATCCTTTCTCCTGGTTTCCTCCAAGTGTGTCTATGAATATTCTCTCATTCTTAGATCCAGGTTTGTCAGCTTTATGTACAGATAGATAAGCTTTCATTATTCTTCAGTTATGTTATTCTGCTATGCTAGTTGAATCAGAAAATAAACAAGTTTTTAATATTTTATGGGGTTTATAACTTTAATTTTCTTTGTTAAACTCTTCATTTGTTTATTATATTAGAAAAATATTAATAAATTTTGAGACAATATGTCATCTCTTCACACAGAATAGCTATTTCCCTCATGTGTTGGCCTGTGAGACTTGCATGCCACTAGCCTTGAGCTAACTCTCACATAAGTTCATGTGTTGATGTGAGCTGTGCTGGTGCATGATGACATCATCATGTAACACAACCTCCATGCATAGTAACTCCTCTTAACTGTCTTACTATGGGCTCAGTTGAATTGGCTGAGCTTATAACCCCAAATTGACTCTAACTTCTAATATGTTTTGTGTATCTTTATAAAATTCCACAAGCTTTTAGTAAGCATTAAGAGTTTAGTGGACAAAAAATCTTAAATTTTAATAAAGTATTTTCCCTAAAAGTTTCTCCATGAATATATATGGAGTAAAGTGTTGACTGCTCCAAAGGCAAAGTGCGTTTTATGTTGAGATTAAAAATAATTTTCTTCATCTGAAGATTGTCGTATTTTTTTTTTTTGTCTATATTTACTAAACTACTTAAATAAATTTCTAAATTGTTTTTTTTTGGTTAAAACTTTATTATTTTATTTTGTTATTTTT